GACCAGCACCATCATATTATAGGGAATATCTGTGGGAAAAGAAAAATAGAAAAAAAAAATATAGTCACTAAGAGAATGTTTTTTTTTTTATCAAATACAACAAAAATATTATAAAATCAGGGGCATATCTGACTTCCATTTGAGAGAGGTCACATGGAGTGAAAACTCTGCACTTCTGTGGGCCCAAAAGATGAAATTCGCTCTGAAGTTTTTTATACAAATTGTGACTATATTCCTAACGCTTTAAGCCATCTGATGGCTCAGTCAAAACAACTAATATTCATGGATCCGATCCGTCAAAGTGAAAATACAGCAGGAAAACAGGCCAAAATGTCAACGAGCAGCCCACACCTTCTCCTTGGCATGTGCAACCTTGATATTTCACTCATTATCTCTATGTAGAAAAATAATTATACCCATTTTTTCATCATAAACACGTTAAATATGTTCCTTGGCATGTGCAACAATAGTATTCCACCCATAATCCCCATTGTCACGCCAAGGGTGCATAATTCAATGGCAACAGAATATTGCCATGTAATGTAATTTGTGTAGTGCATACATGAATTGGCCACTTGCTTTCAAGGTCAGATGACAGAAGGGATAATGTAAATTGCATAGGAATGGGAAAGGAAGCAGATGGTTTACAACATGGATTGATCCTTTGATTAATCAACGGCTCTGTAAAGTGGGAGAAGTCACACATAAGTGGCCTGGAAGTCAAGTACCAATGTAAACTAACTGCCTTCAGCCATATGGCCTCTGCCTCTTAATTGATGAGTTAATTTCTTTGATATGTTAATGATCATTAGCCTTGTGTTCAAGCATCATATCCAAAAGAAACATTAATATATACCCACAGAAAAATAATTAAGCTTCATTTTTATTATATTTAGACTGGGACAAGTGCCATCTTCTAAACAAGCCCAAACATGATTTGCATAACTTAACCATAGGGGAAGGGATTGGGATTCCGCTATATTGGGTCACAGGGAAGAAGTGTGACATATCTATGGAATGGAGAAATGATAACAAATTTATAGAGGCAATTATTATTTCTGTGGCAAGTACAAAAGAGGAAATAGAAGGAAATGTTTATATTTGGATTGATGTGGGTCTGAAACACAAGGGAGTGGTCACTTAATGTTTCTATAGATACTCTTAACTCCACCTCTGGGCGAGGCGTGGTAATCCACAGGGTATATATCCAATGATACTGAGATGTGTATTTGTACTTGCTTGGGGGCCAGAATCTAATTCTAAGCGAGTCACCACATTTCTTACCAGAGACCCCCTGTGCAGAAGTTTTACTTTGAGTGATTTGGACTTCTGTTATTTTATCCTTTTTGTTTTTGGTGTAACTAATTTGATTGTCATCTATATTTTTGTATGCACTGTGACTATTTTTTGCTCATATTAAATATTCCTTTATTAAGTTCTGCCTTTGTCTGGTAAAGAGACTAATTAGTGTTTTGCAATTGCTTAAATATTGTGCTAAGTTGTGCTTGGTGGGTTTTTATTATTAAGTTACATGGGCGACCAATGCACCCCATTTATAAATTGTCTTGGGGGTGGCAGCGTTAAAATAGTAACATTCATATTAGTATGCTTGAGTGTGGTTGGTGTTAAGGGGGATTTCATCATTATTTCCAGTCTAGTGCTGACAAATAGTGAACTTGAACTCTTTCACCACCACAACTATGTCACGCACACTCTTGAAGTAGGGTGCCTTCGTGACACCCATGTATAAAAATACTGATACCCATATTCTTATCAGAGACAGGCCAAAAATGTTACTTCACATGTGTAACCTGGATATTCCACCCATTATCCCCATGTTTAAAAATAATTATTGCCATATTTTTTATTTAGAAATATGTTATATATGTTCCTTGGCATGTGTAAACATGATATTTCAATCATAATCCACATATTTAAAAACTATTTATAACCATATTTTCTTTTTTTTTTATCAAAAAAAGGTTAAACATGTTAATTGACATGAGTAACTGTGCTATTTCATACATAATAACCATACATACAAATAATTATACCCACATACTTTTCAGAAACAGGTTAAAAGAACACTATAGTGACAGTAATACAAATGTATTCCTATCACTATAGTGTTAAAAATGCAGTTTAGGCCCTTGGCCCCCCCTTGGCACTCTTTAAAAAGGTAATAAACTTACCTGTTCTCCAGCATTGTGTGGGTCTGTCTTGGCTCCCCCTTATGGTGACATTCTGTCCTCAAACTATAACCAAGCTCAGGTATGCCTTTCTTACATGGGAAAAGGTTCACCCTTTTGATATGGTAATTAGGTAATTGTGACGGACTGCTGGCACTCTGACTGAGTATCTCCGCCAATCGATGCGCCTAGTGCTCGCTGAGGACTCCAAGCACTCCAACCGACACCATCAGCACTGCAGCCCCAACTTCCAGTGATGCAGTTGCGCCGGGGTCTCTCCGTCTCTCACCCACCCTGGATCCAAGGCCAGGATCCAGCTTCCAGTGGGTGAACCTCTCCTAAATCCAGAGAGCAGGAACCAGGAACAAAACAAGCTCTTACTCTGGGGAGTATGTGATTATAGCAATCCCCAGAGTGTAGGCAATTCTCCCAATCCCCCAAACATGAGCCAAGACTTCTCATTAATTGGCACCAAAGAGCTTTCTTTTATGGAGGTCTTACACATACACCCACAGGGTTTTGCAGAACAACCAATAAACACGTAATACAGTAAAACACTCCCATTCATTCCAGCAAAAATCCTCCCCTCTGCCTGTGATATGATTACTGTACACAATGCGTTAATGTAATTATCACAGGCAGTAAAAATATACTTTTTATACATACACTGTAACTTTAAAACTACACATCCAATCTCCATAAAAACACATTATTAATCAGCATACTTTAAACATAAACACTCTCAAAAATCAGGCAAATCCCTCCAATAGATAAAAAGTTAGTCAGAAATCGTTTGTGACCGACCACAGCACGTTTTCCTGCCCAAAACAGTTCAATAGATTTGGCATGTGCAGTCGGTCTATTTCGGGCAGAAAAATGGCTAAGTCCCATTCGAATGCACGAACGTGGCCATTCGTGCAATTGGCTCAGTACAACAGTGAGTTCAAACTGCCGAACGGGACTTAGTCTCTGCGGCTGCAAACTTAGTGTAGGAGAAGGTAAGGGTCAGTGGTGTTTGTGGAACTGTGTAGCCGATTTCAGTTACATTAATTTGGCTACACCCACCGCTGACCGCGTTCGAATGAACAAAGATGGCTGCCACCACATGTTCGTTTGCGGGGTGGCAGGTGCCACTGTCACTCCAGAGGTGGAGGAAGAGGTGGAGACAGCTTTCTTGGTTTTTGAGGTGCTTACTCCACTGCAGCTCGTGCTTTGCATGTATATACCTGGTCATGCAGGTTGGTTTAGCACGTTTATGCCTCGCTTCAGGCTCTGATTGCACAGCGTGCAAACCACCAGTGTCTTGTCGTCAGCACATTGTCTGAAGAACTGCCACGCCAGGGAATTCCTTGGAGCTGGTTTTGGTGTGCTCGGTCCCTAGGTGCGGTGGGCAGTAGCAGGCGTACTGTCTAGGGGACAGCTGCTCCGTTTTTGCACCCTGCTCTGGGAGGAGGAAGTAGATGTGGAGTAGGAGGTTGGGACATATAAAAAAAAGAAACATTTGTGTCCTGTGGTGCATTTCTTGCAGTCCAATAACGCCATCAGGTTTTTAAAACTGTCCGTCTCCACTAGACGGAATGACAGCAAGGAATGGGCCCAAGGCTACTTGTATGTGTTGTGTCATTGGCTTGGTGCACTTTCTTTGCATTAGCATTTTGCACTTTAGCATTTGCACTTTATTGCCCAGTTCAGCATTATGTATCATTGAGCTGCTATGCCTATGGGTTCCTACTTATTATATTTTTTTAATATTTTGGCACTTGTTATTGTGCTGTAATTTTACATTCTGTACCAATAAACTACTACTGTTATTTGATACCAGATATCCCACATATTTTTCTTTATGTGCATATTGTTCTTTCCCTCATATATACCGATTTAGTGATTGTGGAGCCCTGTACATTTGAATTTTTCTGTTTTCAGGAATTTTGAAATGCTTGCACTCAGGGCCAGGAATCACGGGTGGGTAGGGGGTACTTCCTCTTTCTCTCCAGTGTTTGGGAGATGGACAGTGCTTCCATGGGACAGTGTGGAGATGCTGGACAATTGTGTACCTGGCCTATGATGGTGCAGGAACCCACCCTCTGAGCCACTTGTGAAGTGAATGACTGGCCTGATAACTGTGGAAATGACCGTCTTCCTCCTCCTCTTACTCCTGTGCCACATCCTCTTCCATCATCGCCCAAAGAGTTTTTTAAAGGAGACTTAGAAGCCGGATAGTAAGGCTGAGAATGGTGTCAGCGGCACAGGCCATGTTGGTGGAGCCCTCAAACAGCGCAACATGGCACACAGGTCTCGCATGGAGGCCCACTCATTGGTGGTGAAGTGGTGCTGTTCCCCAGAGTGACTGACCCGTGTGTGCTGCAGCTGAAACTCCGCTATCGCCTGCTGCTGCTCGCACAGTCTCTCCAGCATGTGCAAGGTGGAGTTCACGTCGCATATGAGGCGGTGAGCGGGAAGGCCGAAGTTATGCTGCAGCACAGACAGGCGAGCAGCAGCAGGGTGAGAACGCCAAAAGCGTGCACAGATGGTCCGCACTTTCTGCAGCAGCTCTGATATATCTGGGTATACACCGTGACAGTGTTGGTGGAAGCAGCAGAGAAGGAGGAGGAGGTAGCCAACACTGGTTTGTTTTTGTTTTTTCATTGGGGTAGCCCCCAAAAATATTGGAACATATAAAAAAAAAAAAAAAAAGAATAAGTGTACTTGAGTATAACAATGGCTGTGTGAGGCCGGTTAAATGTCTATTCTGCACAAGGTACAGACAAGTCTGGTGGGATCCATGCCTGGTTCATTTTAATAAACGTGGGCTTGTCCACGTTGGCCATGGACAGGCGGCTGCACTTGTCTGTGATAACCTCGTGCTGATCGCATGTCCCTGTGACAGTGACAATGTATTCGGATGTCTGCCCTATCAACTTTCAATGCAATTTTCCACGCCTACCATGGTGACCACGGGTAACTGGGAATCAGGGTTTGATTCCAGAGAGGGAGTCTGAGAAACTGCTACCACATGCAAGGAAGGCAGCAGGCGCTCAAATTACCCACTCCCGATGCAGGGAGCTAGTGATGACAAATAACAATACACTACTCTTTCGAGGTCCTGTCATTGTAATGAGTCCACTTTAAATCTTTAACTTGGATCAATTGGAGGGCAAGTCTGGTGCAGAGCGGCTGACCCGTACGTGCTGCAGCTGAAACTCCACTATCGCCTGCTGCTGCTCGCTGAAGCTGCATCAGGGTCCTGGTATGCGGCCGCACAAACACTGGTGCTCAACACCAGGGGGCTTGCGGTTACCCTGCACTAGACCCTGCTAATCCATTCCACACTGTGACTCCTAACTTCAACTTCAGGCATACTGGGTCCCGGTCGTCCGACCGCCGCCCTGACGGTGTCTGGGTACCGGTCACCGGACTGCGAAACTGCGAATGGCTCGTTAAATCTGTTATGGTTCCTTTTATCTCTCCATCTATTACTTGGATAACTGTGGGAATTCTAAAGATAATACATGCTGACGAGCACTAGGGGACTGCCGCTCCACTTTTGCACCCTGCTCCCTCTTATGCTGTGCTTGTGCCTCTGTGTGACCAGCGCCTCTTCCTCCAAACTGCCCACGTCACTCGCATGACCTTCATTCCACGTTGTTTTGGTGTTTGTTTTTTAACTTTGTAGTTGTGTATTTGCACAATATAGAAATGTATAGTAATGCTTCTGTATATGAAGCGATCACAATAACACTTATTTTTCCCTTTTTTTTTTTTTTTAAAGTCTTCAGACTTTCTAGAGAAGCAGTAACTAGCCAGTATTGCACACATACACCATATATGCACTGCAGGCACCAAATTGAATTTTTAACACCTAAAGCATTCGAATGTTTAAAACTGCAATGTAAGCACAGTATTTGACGGTTCTATTTGACTCTCAGATATCAACTGCAGGCACCAAATTGACTTTCTAGCACTTAAAGAATTTGAATGTTTAAAAATGCGCTGTAAACACAGTATTTGACAGTTCTATTTGACTCTCAGATATCAACTGCAGGCACCAAATTGACATTTTAGCACTAGTGATGTCCCGAACGGTTTGCGAACGGTTCGCCACGGACTCATCATTGAGTAAACTTTGACCCTGTACCTCACAGTCAGCAGACATATTCCAGCCTATCAGCAGCAGACCCTCCCACCTCCTGGACAGCATCCATTTTACATTCATTGTGAAGCTGCATTCTTAGTGAGCTGTCCAGGAGGTGGGAGGCTCTGGGAGGGAGGGTCTGCTGCTGATTTGCTGGAATCTGTCTGCTGACTGTGAGGTACAGGGTCAAAGTTTACTCAATGAGGAGTCCATGGCGAACCGTTTGGGGCGAACCGTTCGGCGAACCGTTCGGGACATCACTGTTTAGCACCTAAAGAATTCGAATGTTTAAAAATACGCTGTAAGCACAGTATTTGATGGTTCTTTTTGACTCTCAGATATGAAGTGCAGGCACCAAATTGACTTTTTAGCACCTAAAGCATTTGAATTTTTAAAATTACAATGTAAGCACAATATTTGACGGTTCTATTTGACTCTTAGATATGAAGTGCAGGCACCAAATTGACTTTTTAGCATCTAAAGAATTTGAATGTTTAAAAATGCACTGTAAGCACAGTATTTGATGGTTCTTTTTGACTCTCAGATATGAAGTGCAGGAACCAAATTGACTTTTTAGCACCTAAAGAATTAAAATGTTTAAAACTGCAATATAAGCACAGTATTTGACTCTCAGAGATGAAGTGCAGGCACCAAATTTACTTTTTAGCACCTAAAGAATTTGAATGTTTAAAAATGCGCTGTATGCACTGTATTTGAGAGTTCTATTTGACTCTCAGATATGAACTGCAGGCACCAAATTGACTTTTTAGCTGCTGAAGAATTTAAAATGTTTAAAAATGTGCTGTAACACAGTATTTGACGGTTCTTTTTGACTCTCAGATATGACCTGTAGGCACCAAATTGATTTTTTAGCACCTAAAGAATTCAATTGTTTAAAACTGCAAAATAAGCACAGTATTTGACGGTTTTATTTGACTTTCAGAAATGAAGTGCATTCACCAAACTGACTTTTTAGCACCTAAAGCATTTGAATTTTTAAAACTGCAATATAAGCACAGTATTTGATGGTTGTGTTTGACTCTCAGATATGAACTGCTTGCACTAAATTGACTTTTTAGCACCTAAAGAATTCAAATGTTTAAAAATGGGCTACAATCACAGTATTTGACAGTTCTATTTGACTCTCAGATATGAAGTGCAGGCACCAAATTGACTTTTTAGAACCTAAAGAATGCAAATGTTTAAAAATACGCTGTAAGCACAATATTTGCTGGTTCTATTTGACTCACAGATAAGAAGTTCAGGCACCAAATTGAGTTTTTAGCAGCTAAAGAATTCAAATGTTTAAAAATGCGCTGTAAGCACAGTATTTGATGGTTCTATTTGACTCTCAGATATGAAACGCAGGCACCAAATTGACTTTTTAGCACCTAAAGAATTTGAATGTTTAAAATTGCGCTGTAATCACAGTATTTGATGGGTTTTTTTGACTCTCAGATATGAACTGCAGGCACCAAATTGACTTTTTAGCAGCTGAAGAATTTAAAATGTTTAAAAATGCGCTGTAAGCACAGTATTTGACGGTTCTTTTTGACTCTCAGATATGAACTGCAGGCACCAAACTGACTTTTTAGCACCTAAAGTATTTGAATTTTTAAAACTGCAACATAAGCACTGTAGATAAACACAAAAAGAATTCAGCGCTAGTAATCACAAAATTAGTCAAGGTATGCAGCAACCCAAATGAAGGAAAACCCCTCGGGTCCTTCGGTGGATAGATACAAAAAGATATGGAAGGGCTGCGCCAGATAAGGGTAGATAGTCCAGTAAAGTATAGCTAGGGTATGGCACCCTAGCAATACTTTACTGGACTATCTACCCTTATTTGGCGCAGCCCTTCCATATCTTTTTGTAACATAAGCACTGTATTTGCTAGTTGTGTTTGACTCTCAGATATGAACTGCTTGCACGAAATTGACTTTTTAGCACCTAAAGAATTCGAATGTTTAAAAATGGGCTACAATCACAGTATTTGACAGTTCCATTTGACTCTCAGATATGAAGTGCAAGCACCAAATTGACTTTTTAGCACCTAAAGAATTCAAATGTTTAAAACTGCAATAAAAGCACAATATTTGACGGTTCTGTTTGACTCTCAGATATGAAGTGCAGGCACCAAATTTACTTTTTAGTACCTAAAGAATTAGAATTTTTAAAACTGCAAAGTAAGCACAGTATTTGACGGTTCTATTTGACTCTCAGATATGAAGTGCACCACAGGCCGCAAATGTACTATTTAGCACCAAAAAGTTAGATTTTTTAAACCAACAATGTAACAGTAGTATTTAAGGGTTTTATTTGACTGCAAGAAATGCAGTACGCAAATGTACTATTTAGCACCCAAAAAATTTAATATTTAAAAATGCCTATTTAGGCCCATTTTCCACTGAGCTACCAGAACAGAATTAAAATAATGTGCTTGGCACACATGCAGTTGCAAGTGCACTGCACTCTCTGTGGCACTGGGCTCAGGGTAGGGTACAAAAATGTAGTATTATAGCACCCATAAAAATAATCGCTGTAGTTTGAATAATCGCTGTAGTTTGCAGATTCAACACCAGAATTCTTTCCTAATCTGTCCCTAACAGCTGCAGCATCCTCTCCCTACACTAAAAAGAGCTCATGTGCGTGCGGCGCTACGCGACTACAGCTTATATTTAGAGACTGGGTCACATGTTGCACTGGCCACTCACAGCCATGCCATTAATAGGCATGGCTGTGATGGCTTCTAAGGGCACACGTGTCAAACGCTTGTTGAATGCCTTTCAAAACACTATGAATACCAATCAAAGTTTACCTCTTTTTACGGAGGGATGTGTGTAACAAAGTGCTTACAAAATAAAGGTGATTGACAGGCAGCTCTATACACTTGTGTGGAAATATCCTCTATCCCACTATACAGAATAATAGATTTAAGTGCGGTGTAAGTAACAAAGACCTACACCTATAAGTGGAGCGCTGAAACACATATATGGCTTACCAAACATTATTTCGTACCATGGTACAGTGAAAAGAACATGTGAAAAAAATACAGAAGAATACAATATAGTGCAGATGGTATTTAAAGTGGCAATGCAATAATAATGATGGAATCTTAATGACTAGTACACTCACATTTCAAGGAGCCTGTATATGGAAACACTGGCTCCGTATCAAGGCTTGTGTGCTTATAATGGTAGCACCACCCTTCTACTTCGATTAGGAATGATTCTCAAAGACAAAAACAGAGGGAGAGCGAACCAATGTGTAGATTGCAATCATAAAAGCACACATATATATTGATAAATGTGGTGCTCACCTGGTCCTGAGCCTATGGGTCCTGGCTCTAGGTATATAAACTCTGTGCCAATTTAAATGGGGATGGCACTGCCCCTGTGAAGATTCTCTTGGAGGCTCCAAAAAAAAAGGGACCTGAGTGAGATATAAAATAAAATAACAAATGTATTGATAAAAACAAAGTGTAAAAAAAGTCCTCAATAAAAGTCCTTTAAAAATGGCCAATACACGTTTCACTCTCAAATAGAGCTTCTTCAGTCAGCTGTAATGTAGGTCCTCTGAATCTTCCATTTTTAAATGTCTCCTGGGTCTTCCCCTTTAATGAGCTAAATGCATTTAGTCCAATCACAATGTAGTTTACATATATCAAGTGTAACGGCACCCTCAGCATAAAAGGGTTAAACCGCCATTTAGTAGATCTTCCCCTTCCAGAGACACAGGCACAGCTACTGCAGAACCCCAAACTCCCAAACAGGATACCAAGTAGTACTCCAAATTCCCGAACTGGAACCTCACGAATAGCTGCTAGTAGCTGAACAGGAAAAGCACCCAAGCGGCTTACACTCCTGGCAATCAGTCTCTAACAGCATACAGTAAATCCCCCCAAGAACGAGACAAGGCTCCGTTTTGTGGGTCAAGCAGGAACA